AAAAAAAAAAAAAAAACTAAGTAAAAGAATATTAAGAGGGTAGTTAACACCAGTAATGGTGCCAAAATAATGATGACCATTACTACTAGTTCAACATTTAAAAATAATATAAAACATTTGTCTCTATTTTTTACCAAGGAAGATGGTCAAGAGTTTTGTATTGCTAATGAAACTTCAAATTAGTGGACCTATACAACCATAACTATATGTAAATTCTCCAGACACTCTTCTACATGTTGTTATTTTTAAATCAAGTTAATTCTATATTACTTTTAGTATTTACGCCTGACGTTTATTTATAGAGGAATTAATACCTGCCTGATTGTCACTTAATTTGGATTTTATATTCTTAAAAAAGTGAGTCTAGGTAGAGCCTAAGATGTTTTTAAATGGGGATTTTTCCCTTAAAAAGTATGAAATTTCTTCATGATAATTTAATCATGCATCCATTTTTAATGACATAAGAGTTAGGCGTGTAACTAACATGGTTAATATTTTATAAACTTTTTGGTAAACATGCAGTTCTGTGTCTTAACTCATTTTATTTTACAACTGAATATTAGTGCTCACTGTTGTAAATTTCACATCACTGATTCTTGAAAAATCTTTCTTTTTAAACGATAATAACCTTTTTTTATGAACATATAAAAGCAAAGAAAACTAAATGTTAAATTCATCTACTTATACAGATGTCTACCAAAATGCATGTTCTCTTTACCGTGATTTTAATTTTTCTAACATTTAAAAGGCATAGCAAAATAAATCATAAGCAAGTGTCTATTGTTCCTAAGTCCAATAAAATCATGTGAGTTATACCTGTCAGACTTTTTCATTTTAATAGCTAGTAAATTAGCATAAATATTCAGGTGTGATTGTCATATCACACAAACTATCTCCATGTTAATGGGATACTTTGTTTACTACCTGGTGTCATTAAAATGGAATTAGCTTCCAGGCATTTACTCACATCCACAATCCCTCACTACTAGATTTTAGTTTGTATTTCCAGGTTTCCTTCAATTTTTCTCATTCCCAATTCATCATAGCTTTGTTGTCTAGACTCCTGGAACTTATGTATTTTATCTGCACATATCAACATATTGGGTTAAGTCTCTTGTTAAGAAAGTTAATGCACATGTAATTTCCATTGACAGTTCAATTTTAAATAGCTTGACATCAGGGACACTGCCTCTTCTACTATTCATACCTTTAATGAAGACCAGCACACAATAGGCACTCAATGATTGCTGGCCTTCCTGTCACCTGAATGCCAGCTGATTACAAATTTCTACTACTATTGATGTTAACACATCTTGACCAAAGTAAGGAATACCTTACTTCGTTGATACCTTACAGTGTTGTTATAGTCAAACCTAAAATAAAAGGCCATTCTAACTCTAGTTTAAAAAAATATTATTAAAGTCAATACTTTACAGGGGACAGCCTTGAAAACAGACCAAGGTGATAAAAACAACTCCTTTAGCTACCATTAATATTCTTAGATCTTCAGTTTCAGTTCAATTGTTTTTTTTTAATGTTTTATTTCCATATGTTTTTGGGGAACGGGTGGTATTTTGTTACATGAGTAAGTTCTATAGTGGTGATTTACGAGATTTTGGTGCACCCATCACCTGAGCAGTATGCCCTGAACCTGATTTGTAGTCTTTTATCCTTCATTCCCTTGAATTGTTTTTATTAATTCAAACCAATTAACAGTAAAACAAATTGCAATTGCATTATCACTTTATATAATAAAGCAGTAAAAACCAGTATAGGTTACATTATTATTTATTTAATAAACATCAGAATAGTCTTCATTTTTAAATTATAATTAGTTTCTAACTTTCAATTCTTAATTAAAATTAGTTTCTAATTAGAATACTTTTGATGATATGCAAATGGTTAAAATATTAATATTTGAAATATTAATTTTTAATATTTGAATCCATTCTTAAGAATCCATTCTATCTGAGAAAGGGGTTATGTGTGTTTCTTTCTTTCTTTTTTTAAAAAAGTTTCTTTTCAATGACAGAAACATGTGTTTCTTGA